TACATATATACAAAATGGAATATTCCTCAGCCATGAGAAGAGATGAAATACTGCCATTACGACAACATGGATGGACCTCGAGCTAATGATGCTAAGCGAAATAAGCCAGACAGAAAAAATTGAAAATCACATGATATCACTTATATGTGGGATATAAACCTAAAAGCAACAAATGAGCAAGACAAACAGAGATTCATGGTCATGGACAATAGACTAGTGGGTTGGGGGAGGAGGAGGGAGGTAGATGGAGTAAAGGGGGTCAAATATGTGGTGACAGAGAGAAATCTAACTATGGGAGGTGAACACACAGTGTAAACATATATATGCCTTCCTGTTAAAGTATACAGCTGGAACTTACTGGATTTTGTTAACCAATGTCACCATAAAATTAAATAAATTTAAAAAAATACTATCGTTTGCACAACTCTTTTTTAAATCACTTATTACGTATTGCTTTATACTGATATTTGACTCATCATTATGCCCTACCTCTGCCATAAGTTCCAGGCTCTGTGAGGAGAAAGACCATGTGTCGAGTTTCTGAGTGTGCCTAGCATGTCTTGTATGTATGATGGGTACTTAGTAGATTTTTGTGGATTTTCTACTGCATCCATTCTCTTCTCTTGAGTCATGGTAGCCTCACATTTTGGTTAGTTTTTAATAAATGAGTTCAGAGAAGACAAGGCCAGTAAATTTTAACTTCCAAATATAAAAGTTATTTAAGGTCAAATTCCTCAGTTCCCACAAAGGGATAATCACTTTTGTGAGGTGCATAGCAAGTCTTAAGTTCAATGGAGCAGGAGCCTATAAGTTTTGTGTTAATGAAAATTATAATTACTAAGTACATTTACAAAGCTGTGAAAATCATGAATATTATAATTCATACGTCTGTAAAGTTGTCATTTCAAGGCTCATGAAAGAAACAAACTCAGGACAAAGGAGAACAGGAAAACATTAGAACCAGATTTTTGGTCACAATAAAGAAGTTACTTTAAGGTAGCCAAAGACTATAATTTTTAATTCTCTTTACATGTATTCCTATTTATTTCTGAGTGTTTCACCTTGAATTGGAGCTAATGAACATAGAAATTCTTCTGGCATTTCTATTTTATTTTTCTGCTCCCAACATTTCTTATTTGTTTTCATAATCTCTTATGATTACAGTTACAATTTTAGTCAACACCCCGATCATCTTGGTATATAAGTCATTTTTCCTCTAAAGATCTTAGACGTAGGTTACATTTCATTTATCTTTCCATAGAATTTAGTATTCTTTCCATTGTAAGTGACATTTGTACCTACTTGGCTTATTCAAAAAGGGAATTTATTGGCTCATCTACGTTAAAAATCTAAGTCTGGATCAAGCGTTAGGCACAGCTGGAGTTAGAGCTATAAAGATGTCATAAATATTTTGTTTCCACCAGCTTATTCTTTTGCCAAGTATTGCTTTTAGTTCTAGATTCCATGTAGTAGCAAGATGGTAGCAACAGCTTCAGGCCCTGTGCCTCCTGAAGTTTCAAGACAAGAAAGAGTGACACTGTCTTTCCTAGAAGTCCTAGTCAGGGGATCTCATTGGCTCTCAGTGGTTTTGTGTCCACCCTGAAACCAATCACCATGACCACGATTTACTTAAACCTGATGGGGAGATATGATAGATATCTCTGGCCTCACCAGAATCTAATGGACCTAAAGTGTGGGTGAACTGGTATTGATATTTTAGAAATCCACTTATTGAACTCTGAGGAGCAATTACATTTGTTGACTAAATCCTCTTTTGATAATCTATTTCCTTGGCTTTTGTGATGCTTCAGACTCTTGGTCCTTCTTTTATGTGGTCCTTATCTCCTTTTTCTGATCACTAAATGTTCAAGTCTCTCAAGGCTAGATCCTGGGCATTCTTCTAACTGGCCTCTATTCTATGTGATTTCATTCGTACACAGTGCTTTAGTGATCATCTAACAAAACAAGGGTTTGAAATTTACTCTGCAACCCAGAGGAAACTCTGCATTCTCTGTTTCTATCTCTAACTGCCCCACTGACTTTTCTATTTGGTTCTCTTAAAGTCACTTCAAACTCAACATGTTCCACACCACAACCCCTGTCCCCCAGACACACCTGTTCTGAGCACAGTACTTTCTGTTGCAGTGAATTGAACCACTATCTATTCAGTTCAGCAAGTCAGATATCTAAGCAGTACCTTCAAAATGGCCCTCACCCTCACTCCATAATTGCTTAGCTGTTATGTCACCAAGTTCTACAAAGTTTACTTCCTTGATATCTCTCACGTTCTTCCACTCTTCTCCACTTTTACGGCTTCCTCCTTAGTGCAAGCCATTAGCTTCAGTCGTATAATTACTATACAACTTCTCAACTCATTTTCGATGTGTTCCTGCCTTCTTTCGATCTGTGTTTTATTTTGTAGCTAGGGTGCACTTTTTTTTTTTTTCCAAAATGCAAATTCTGTGACACCACTGGTCTTAACATACAGAATAAAATCTCTTCCATGGTCTACAAAACTTCGCTGTCAGGGTTCTTTTCTAGCTCGTCATCACCGTAACACTCCATATCCTCCTTCTCCTCTGTCCTTTACCATAGTGGCCTCCTTTCACTTTCTCGACACTGTGGTAGACATAATAATGTCCCCCTCCCCGCCAAAGATGTCCACGTCCTAATCGTCAAAACCTCTGAATGTTATCTTACATGACGAGAGGGACTTTGTCGATGTGATTCAGTTAGGGGTCTTGAGAAGGGAAAATTTTCTTGGATTATCTAGGTAATCCCAATATAATCACAGGAGTCCTTGTAAGAGCAAAGCAGGAGAATCGAAGGCAGAGAAGGAGATGTAGTGATGGAAGCAGAGGTCAGAGTGATGTGAGGAGGGACCTTTGAGTTAAGGAATGCAGGCAGCCTTTAGTAGCTGGAAAAGGCGAGGAAGCAGATCCTCCCCTAGAGCTTCCAGAAGGAACACAGCCTTATCCACACCTCAATTTTAGGACTTCAGAAATGTAAGATTATAAATTTGTTTTGTTTTAAGTCACTAAATTTGTGATAATCTGTTATATAGCACCAATAGCAAACTCAGACATACACCATCGAGCTGATTTCAGTGTGTTTGTCCAGATTTATTCTTTACCCTTCTTCGTGCTGCTCTGTGCCCCAAAGCTTACCTGTATGTTCTACATCACTGAGTTCTCCTACCTTCTAGTCCTGGTTGGGCGTGGCCAATGGGAGGTACACACAGGAAATTGGAGGGCAGAGGAAAGTGAACCTGGGCTATTTCTTTCCTCTACTACTACCCTGTTGGACTTCTGTTGGCTGTTGCACTCCTTCAGCTGAAGACCACAGCTCTTGTCAGATGGTTCTACTACACAGCTACCTGTTCCAAGTTCTAACAAGTGCTTTTTTATCCCCCTGCCCTGTTAAGCTGGGGTGTAGTGATAGTAGTGGTGGTAGTTAACTGCTCTCTGCTGTTGCTAGCTTAGGGCACTGCACTGTTCTGTGCTATTTTCTCCATACCCTGGCCTCATCTCATTCAATAGTCTATTTATTAAACGCTCCTAAGATTACCCAGCCTGAAAGGGCCATCTGCTTCCCCACAGGATGCTGACTAATACAGACCTCATTAGTTTCCCCTCTGCCTCAGTGCCTTGATACATGCTGGTGCCTTTGCCAGGAAAACCCCTTTTCCAATTTGTGCGCTCTTCCTGTATTAATCTTCAGATTCTTAAATAGCACTTCCTCAAGTAAGTCTTTCTTTCCCCCAAAGTCAAGTATTGCACAACCTCATAATACTTTGCAGCTATACTCCATATCTCATCACAGTTATAGCTTCATAGTTTTTATGAGTTTATGTGATTATTGTTTATCATTCCATCTAGAGCTGCATTATCCTATATGGTAGCCACTAGCCACATGTGGTTGTTGAGCACTTAGAATGTGGTAAACTTAACTGACTAATTCAATGTTAAATTTTATTTAATTTCAATTAATTTAAATTTAAGAACTAATAACGTTAGCAGAAAACTTTTAAG